TTTGCTTTGCTTGGGTTGCATTGCATTGCATTGCATTGCATTGGTTGCGTTGCTTTGCTTTGCTTTGCTTTGCTTCGGTTGCTTTGCATTGCATTGCATCGGTTGCATTGCATTGCATTGCATTGGTTGCGTTGCATTGCATTGCATTGGTTGGGTTGCGTTGCTTTGCATTGCGTTGCTTGGGTTGCATTGCATTGCATTGCATTGGTTGCGTTGCTTTGCTTTGCTTTGCTTTGCTTGGGTTGCATTGCATTGCATTGCATTGCATTGGTTGCGTTGCTTTGCTTTGCTTTGCTTTGCTTCGGTTGCATTGCATTGCATTGCATCGGTTGCATTGCATTGCATTGGTTGCGTTGCATTGCATTGCATTGCATTGGTTGTGTTGCTTTGCATTGCTTTGCTTTGCATTGGTTGCTTTGCATTGCATTGCATTGCATTGGTTGGGTTGCTTTGCAATGCATTGCTTCAGTTGCTTTGCATTGCTTTGCATTGGTTGTGTTGCTTTGCATTGCATTGCATTGCTTCAGTTGCATTGCATTGCATTGCATTGGTTGTGTTGCGTTGCATTGCATTGCTTCAGTTGCTTTGCTTTGCTTTGCACTGGTTGCGTTGCTTTGCATTGCATTGCGTTGCTTGGGTTGCTTTGCATTGCTTTGCTTTGCTTTGCTTTGCATTAGTTGCGTTGCTTTGCATTGCATTGCATTGCGTCGGTTGCTTTGGTTTGCTTTGCTTTGCACTGGTTGCATTGCATTGCATTGCATTGCTTCGCATTGCTTTGCATTGCATTGCATTGGTTGCATTGCTTTGCTTTGCTTTGCTTTGCTTCGGTTGCTTTGCAATGCATTGCTTCGGTTGCTTTGCTTTGCTTTGCTTTGCTTGGGTTGCATTGCATTGCATTGCATTGCATTGGTTGTGTTGCTTTGCATTGCATTGCATTGCATTGGGTTGCATTACATTGCATTCACTGGATTGCATTGCCTTGCATTCATTGCATTGCATTGCCTTGCATTCATTGGGTTGCATTGCATTGCATTGCATTCATTGGGTTGCATTGCATTGCATTGCATTGGGTTGCATTGCATCGCATTGGGTTGCATTGCATTGCATTGCCTTCCATACAATGGGTTGCATTGCCTTGCATTGCATTGCCTTGCATTCATTGGGTTGCATTGCATTGCATTGCCTTGCATTCAATGGGTTGCATTGCATTGCCTTGCATTCATTGGGTTGCATTGCATTGCATTGCATTGCATTGGGTTGCATTGCATTGCATTGGGTTGCATTGCATTGCATTGGGTTGCATCGCATTGCATTGCATTGCCTTGCATTCATTGGGTTGCATTGCATTGCATTGCATTGCATTCATTGGGTTGCTTTGCATTGCATTGCATTGGGTTGCATTGCATCGCATTCGGTTGCATTGCATCGCATTCACTGCATTGCATTGCCTTGCATTCATTGGGTTGCATTGCATTGCATTGGGTTGCATTGCATCGCATTGCATTGCATTGCATTGCCTTCCATTCAATGGGTTGCATTGCATTGCATTTCATTCATTGGGTTGCATTGCATTGCATTGAATTGGGTTGCATTGCATTGCATTGCATTGCATTGCATTACATTGCATTCACTGGATTGCATTGCCTTGCATTCATTGCATTGCATTGCCTTCCATTCAATGGGTTGCATTGCATTGTATTGCATTCATTGGGTTGCATTGCATCGCATTGCATTGCATTGCATTGCCTTCCATTCATTGGGTTGCATTGCATTGCATTGCATTGCATTGGGTTGCATTGCATTGCATTGCCTTGCATTCATTGGGTTGCATTGCATTGCATTGCATTGCATTCATTGGGTTGCATTGCATTGCATTGCATTCATTGGGTTGCATTGCATTGGGTTGCATTGCATTGGGTTGCATTGCATTGCATTGCCTTGCATTGCATTGGGTTGCATCGCATTGCATTGCATTGCCTTGCCTTGCATTGCATTGCATCGCATGCACCTTGCAGCGCCCAGCTCGCTCTGCGCGCCCCCCAGCCGAGCTTGCAAGCCTTCCCAGCACCCATTGCATCCCATCTTTGCAGGCATGGCTGCAGGTTTGCAAGGCCAGAGCGTTTCGTCCGGCAGCTCGGAGCTGAAATCGGACGACGAAGGCGACGAGAATTTGCAAGAATCCAAATGCAACGAGGACAAAAAGCTGGAGGAGGACAAGAAGGAGCTGAAATCAATTACTAGGTCAAGGTCTAGGTAACAACGGGGCGGGGAGGCCGTTAACGAATTGCCGCTCGTTAATTGCAAGGGCGTCAGGGAGCTGCAAAAGGGGGGGGGGGGGGGGGG